GCCCGGGATATCATCCTGTACTGGGGGGCCAGTGTGTTGCAAGACCCCGAATCCATTCGCCGCGCCTACAGCTCGAAAGTCAGCAACGCCTTTTCAGTGATCCTGCCTGACCGTTCAACGAACAATAGCATTAAAGACATAAGAATAGCCTACAAACCTCCTTCACTTGTAACGCCCAGTACAGGGGTTTGTACTGCAGAACCGTTGCAAGCACTACTATCGGTACCAGTGCCAACAGCGGTGCCAGTGCCAGTGCCGGTAGCGGTAGCGGTAGAGGCATCAGCAAGCGGTGTAGGTCGTCGCGCAGGGTTCGAAATTTGAGGAGATGCTTTGCAGAAGACGATTAGTCGGCGCGCAGAAAACAAAGCGCATTGTGCTTTACACTTACCTGCGGTTGTAGCCATGGCTGTGGATGACAGTCGCGTCACAAATTCCGCATCATCCCTTCAAGAAAGATCGGAACACAGCGGTGCCTTTCGAGATTTCTACCCCGGCGGGGAGCCTTGATCCGGATGGCAAAAAATACGTATGCTAAAACCCGCGGATGCAAGAGGGCATCACGAAACCCCAGATGGATCACCAAGGCGACTCGACTGCATGTGATGACTTGCCGAGTCAGCTTCTCTTTTTGATAATGCAACGGCGCCAGCTGGTCGTCATCGTTGTTGGATTTGGCCGAAGTACTATTCAGATTGTAATAAAGCGAGAAGCCCTCGATCGTTTGGAGCTATACAATGAATTAGCGACAGCGAAATCTCGCGATGCGCATTCGCGATGGGCGAAATGCCGAAAGGAAAGATAGAGAAGAAACCAAGGCCTGCGGAGCGATATCTGGACAAGACCTACGCTTTGCGAATGCGCAGCGGCTGTCGAAGTTGGGGAGGTATGGCGTGAGCAGCGTTGGACAGCGTGGGGATGTCGAGTGAAGAGGATTAGTCTTCGCAGCTTTCCATGTATAGCAGGTAGGTCTTACGGAGTAGGCTGTCACCTTATTAGATGGCAGCAGACCCGCTGGCTACCTCTCAGGCTATCGTAGAGTGAATGACGAACCACCACCCAGCTTTGAGGTACCTAGCTACTGCGCCCCGCTACGTCGCCCGCTTCCCAGGTACCTAAACGGTCGTGCCATATCCACGTACCTCTTCCACCTGTGTACACCAAATCTGTACTTGAACACTGGCAAAGTTGCGAGTACCTCGTTCGCGATTCACCGTTGCGTAGGTAGGGGGCTACATGGAGCAGGCTCGTAGGCTGGCCTCAGCTTAGCACCCAAGGTAACCTCTCTCTCCTCTACTCCGTACTACTGGGCACTGCTACATTTCAACCCGCTCCGGCCCTCAATTGACACCATCTCAGCTACCTACCCATGTGCGATTTCTTTACTGGAGTTCGCAAAGCCATTGCTTACTAGCGGGTGTTGCTCAAAACCCCAGCCTCCAGGTCAGTGACAACCTCTCATTTTCTCCCGATTGCATCGACCGATGCCCAACTAACTCCGCCTACCTTCCGATAGCTCTCTCGACCTCACCTACCGTAACCTTACCTCACCTTACTTTCCTAGACCTTCCGAGGCTCTGACATAGCCGCATGGATAGCTAGCTGGCGTCCGATCCAGTCCAAGAAGCATGTCTACCAAATACGCCCTCGTCTCCCTGCCTCTCGGCATCTTCGACTCTGGAGATAAGGACGATGCAATCAACTCGTTAAGTGCTACCATTTCGGCTGAGAATGGTAGTGTTCGCCCCTTCAACATACCCGATTTCAAAATCGGCACCCTGGATGCCTTGGTCCAACAAGCCGATGACCTCACCAAGCTAGAGTCTACCTGCCAGGCTGTCGTTGCAAAGGTTGCCGACTCATTGAAGTCAATCCTCGATGGTGATGAGGACAAGATCTCCCAGCAGAAGATGGTCAACGATAGTGAGAAATGTCTAGGGCACCGCCTCGTTGCTGCTGCCATCCCACAAATCTGTTGTACATATCACTAACGGCGGTTGTACCTCAGAGCCCACCGACCAATATGTCAACTCGTTTTCTTGGAACAAGGTCCGATACCGCGCCGACAAACCTTTGAGCGAACTCGTCGATACACTGCAAAAGGTACGTGGAGTGAGAGGGCGCACTGGAACCAACGGGTTCGCGGCGGGATTCTGCTTTGCTGCATCCGTTTCGCCTTCGGCGCGGATCGGGGTTGCCATCCATAGAGTAGGCCCGCAGGAAACTAATGAAGCGCCAGGAACTCGTCACTACCGACAACGATGTCAAGAGCAAGTTCAACCAGTATAACTCGGTCAAAACAAACTTTGCCACTCTCCAGCGCAAGCAGACGTACGTATTGTTTCCAAGACCCATCGTTTCTCCTAGCGCAAGGATGACTTGATAGCTGACAGCAGTATTACAGTGGCAACCTTGCGACAAAGTCCCTCACTCCCGTTGTCGATCCCGCCCTCCTCATCCAGGACTCGGAATACCTAGAGACGCATCTTATTGTTGTGCCGAACAATGCAAAGAAGGACTTTTTGAAGAGTTATGAAACACTGGCACCGATGGTGGTTCCCCGGTCTGCCGTGCAGGTCGCGACGGACGAAGAGTTCACCTTGTACGCTGCTACGTCATTCAAAAAACACAGTGCAGAGTTCCTTGCGAAGTGTCGCGAGCAAAAATGGACCCCGCGTCAATACAAGTACGTGGAGGGTGGAAAGGAGGAAGAGCAACGCGAGCTTGACCGAGTGGCTCGTGAAGAGAAGAAGACATGGGGAGAGGCTCTGAGAATCGGCCGGACAGGCTGGAGCGAAAGCGTCATGATCTGGCTGCATGTGCTCGCGCTGCGCGTGTTTGTCGAGGCTGTTCTCCGCTACGGACTCCCGCTCGACTATGTCAGTGTTCTTGTCAAGGTTAGCACTCATCTTTCTCCCTCAAATCATTGCTTACGATGCTAACGCGGCGGGCAGACGAATTCGAAACTGGTCAAGAAGGTCAAGACAGCGCTTGACTCTAATTACTCGTACCTAGGAGGCAACGCCTTTGGCAGAGACAAGCGCGGGAAAATTACCAAAGACGACGCAGCACTTTCGTCCGAGATGGCTGCTGTTGGTCTTGGCGGAGGCGAGGGACACGAGTATACAGCTTACGTTTACTACGAGTTTGACTTCTCTTAGTTGCGTAGAACTACACAATTGCAGCATGGCGGGTGCATGCAGTCCCGCGTTTCAGACGCAACCTTGCACTGAAAATGCGTATTATTTTTTGAGGGGCATTAGACCGTGGTTAGAAAGCTCTGGGCTGTAGCCAGTTGGTAACTCCTAGTTCATACAAGATGAGAACCGGCCGCACATGCAATTGTAGGACCGTACACATCAGGCTGTTTTGCTCGCAGTAATGAGACCCTCCTTGATCAGCCACTCGGCAATTTGTGCCACACATTCCTCGACGCTCGACTTGTCGGTCCTGATAACAATTTCGGGCTTCTCGGGTGCCTCGTAAGGGGCTGAGATGCCGGTGAAATCCTTGATCTCTCCCGCCCGAGCCTTCTTGTACAGACCCTTGGGGTCACGCTGCTCAGCGACCTCGAGAGGCACATCGACAAAGACCTCGATGAATGGAATGGCTTCATCGCTGCTCTGGCCAGTCTGGCTGTGCAGCTCACGAGCTACTTGACGGTCTGCACGGTACGGCGAGATGAAGGAGGTAATGGCAATAGTCGAAGAATCGGCAAACAGCTTGGCGACCTGCTGCGGCATTAGTCGCGTACTCTCTGACGGTGGCCGTACTCAGGGCGGAAGATCAAGTCTAAAGGTTGGAGTAATTGATCATACCTCAGCGATGCGACGGATGTTCTCATTACGGTCTTTCTCGGAGAAACCAAGATCTTTGTTGAGGCCGAAGCGTACATTGTCACCGTCCAAACGATAGGCGGCAACTCCCAGGTGCAAAAGGTGCTGTTCCAGAGCGGTTGCTACGGTGGACTTGCCAGAGGCGGAAAGTCCTGTGAGCCAGAGGGTGAAACCACGCTGCCCGCGCAGCTGGTTACGCTCAGAGCGCGAGAGTGAGGGGTGCCATGTAATGTTGCTATGATATCGGAGGACAAACATCAGCCAATTTGTTCGTTATGCCGCCAATTGTCGAGTTACGGACGTGAAGGCAAAGAGCTGCAAAGCATTCACCGCAGGCAGGTGCGACGACTGCGGGGTCGGTGGGATAGCAGAAGGAAATTCATGGAGGGGCAATTTCGATCCCGTCATGACGGAACTCTAGATTTCCAGACTCATACTTACGTAGCCATTGTGAATTCGATTGGGTATCTGGTGGTAAGGACTAAAGGGGAGAATGGTGTTGAAAGGACGAAAGTGTGGATTGGAATCAGGCGCAGCGGCAACAACCGCTCATACATATACACACAGATGCGCTCGCATACACGACTCTCACGACAACGGACCGAGTAGGGAGGGTACTAAGTTGCTTTTCACCCCACCTCCTCCCCCTCCATTTTTCCCTCTCGTTTTTCACTTCACACAAGCTAAGATCATGGAGAAGTCAGCACCAGGCGATGTACCCAAAACTCCCAAACACTACAAAATATAGAGTGGCTTCATGAGAGAGGTACTTTGTCTGGCTTTGACCTTCTCCGCATCTAGGTTCAGTACCTTACGGATACCGCAGGGAATGATCCAATGACCTAGGATACAGCAAGAAAAAAAAAATCAATAGAATCCGCAACATGATGAAAGTACTTCCTTACCGGAACACTGCCAGTCTGCGCCGAGCGATGGCGTCAGATCGGCTAGAGGTGGATCATCGCTTGGCGGGACCAGCACGTCAGAGGCCTGTAATCTGGCTGGTTCCTGCCCATTTGGAGGTATTGCCTCCGACTGACCGAGTGCCGACTCCCGCTCCGTTCCCGGATGCCGCGCCGCGCTTCACGTCGGTGCCGAAGCCTCCTCCGTGTCACCTAGGGACCGCTCATGGCCACCTTGCACGGCTATGACATCACAACTGTCCTCAACTAGAGTCGCGCATTTCGAAATCTTGACTGAATGTTCTGCTGGACAATATCCCTCTTCGCTGACCGCAATTTTTTACTTGCGAGCTATCGATCAGCTCAAGCCAGGTCGCGGGGCTATCTATACCTGCCTAGTGTTCGCCGTACGCTGCAAGTCTTGAGAGGGAGCTATTCTGCGCGCACCCTCATGAGAGCCATCTATCAATCCATCCAGCAGGGCTCGTGGCCTGTACTCAGAATCCGTCCCACAAGAGTGTGGAAGGGCTACTGGCTCGAATAGTCTAAGTCGGGTCGGGTTGAGCGTGCGCTTTCAGCTCAGTGCATCGATCTTCTCTCGCAAAACCCTTCTAATTCGGTGACGTTTCTTCTCTCTAATCGCCCCGGCGCGTTCCATCCGACTATTGAAATCTACGGTATGAATAGAATCGAAATGTCCCGCTCTGGTTTGCGTTCGCAGAGATCTCAAGTCGCATTCAGCTTCGCCATTACCTTTTTTTGGATATCAGTATTGTGGCTCAATGATCCAAGCAGTAAGAGAAAAGGTCACTTACAGATGCAAATCTGGGGGAGACAAAGAGCGCAGAGGCTTGCGCTAGGACAAGAGGCTCTTCTCCATCCACTGGGAGCGTTTCCAGCTGGCCCTCAACCCATGCCTTGCGCCCTTCTACTCTTGTCGTACGCGCCCGCAAAACAACGTACGTGCCTGCGTGCACTGGTTTTCTATAGTTGATCTCAAGCTTGGCCGTAACGCCCACTTTGTGTGGAAGAGCACCAAAGCAGCATCGCGCCAGACCCTCGTCCAGCATTGTAGCAAGCAATCCACCGTGCACAATGCCAGGGTGACCACAAATGTCTGTGCCGAGATGGGAGATTGACACAAGAGACTTGCCTCCCTTTTCAGTCCAGCATACAGGGGGAACTGTGATCCGACCCGGCCCAAGAAGCGTGCCGCCAGTGAGATTATGCCGCCGCAGCGCATCGGGGAGTCTCATGTGGGGCCGAGATTCAGTCATGTCGGGATTCCGGCGCATCTCTGCCGCAATAGGGTGGTTGTTGACGAAATCATTCACCACTGCGGCCTCGTCGTTTTCGGGCACGTAGGCGTGCAGGGTATCCTCATCAGAACGGGGTCTTGCCGCGTCAAGTAGACCGGGCAGTAGGGGACTCGCCGCTGCAGCGAAACCCAGGCTCGTAAACAGTAGTCCAAACGCGCCGAAGCTGATGGCTTTGCGGAACCGGGAAGAGATTTTCGGTTGCGATGATGTGCCTACAATAGTTGTGTGAGCTCAATGGCTTATGGTCTTGAAGGACTTTCAAAAGCAACGTAATTTACCTGCATTGACGCCTTGTTGATAGCGTCGGAGCCAAACCTGCTGACGAAGGCCGGAGGTTCGCAAGACTGGCGCGTTAGGGGAGGCCAATGCTGCAGGCTGCTTAAGAAGTCGCCGAAGCGGAAGAAAGGGTGATGCTGCCATGGATACAGTTGGTCAGTCTAAGATTGGAGCTTACGATTGATGTATGAGGCATAGGAGAAGGTCGAGTTTGACCTTTGACGCGGTTTGTCACTCCAGTCGATGCCGAGGCTGCAGGTAGGATAGCTTGACCGTTCAGGCGAGGTACCTTGATCCCAGCAATTAGGTAGCTCAACATCATAACACTAAACGACACTTCATTAAGCGAACAACTGCGGAAGAAACACCTAGCCCAAAATATGCATCAATGGGGATTTCACCTGGACTTATGAAAACGGACAGATGGTTTCCACTCCTTGCGCTTGTCTGATGCTTTATTTTAACAGCACACTCCTCCTTTCTGAACTTGGAACCATACTTTGCTGCAGATAAAATGCACATGTAACTTCTGGTGTCGTAGCCTCGCCCGGCCCCCTGTACACTCCACGCAATAGAGTCCTCGAATATGATTGTATGATCAAGACAAGATCCCGGCCACATGACATCATATCTCTCTCCGTAAAACTATCAGACTCGGGACGGGCAGGACGGAGTCTTCGCCCTTACCTCAGTGGTTGGTTCTCATGCGGCATCGGTCCGTGTGGCTCCAGGGGTCCTGGGAAGATCTCAAAACTTGAATGACCAAGTACGGATGCAGACGCAAGCAACGTGACAAGCCTAGAGGCCTGGTACAGATGGATACATACCCCTCATCTGACCTTTGGCCTTCTGGTACTTTAATAAGACACCGCCGTCCACGGGGCAGATGTTCAGTTGGTTTTGGCATTCACCGTCAACCAACTTCATCTCATACTCGTCCCATCTAATAACAGACATCACGTCCCTGCCGCTAGGAATTCGGCAGAAAGATATAGCAACAAAACACGCAATGGTATTGCCTTTCATTTTCCTCCGCATGCCGAATATGCAAACGACCTACTGCCATGTTGACACCGGCTGACCTCTTGCCGTACTCCGTCCGTTCTAGGCCACGGCAGAAACCGTAGATCTGGGCGCTGTGCACGCGCCTAAAGAAGAGTCAATCAAGGTATTCCAAGAGATCGCGCACGATCTCAAAAAAGAACTTCTCCACATCCGACGTGAACATCAAAGTAAGTCACATTCTCCACTGGAAACAAGCCATGGGCTAACACTACATCATCAGAGCACGAGCCCGAGTACTTTCAGGCCGTTGTAAGTCAATCATTATTTTGCCACGCCTTGCCATCGCGTCCGCTTAGACAGATCCTAGGAACACCTCGACGATCACCAACTGGCCGCTTTTGGCCCGGACAACTTTGTAGCCGTAAGAGTTGCCAGTTCGGCTTACGGAATCCACCTCTTTGGCAAGGTCCGAATCCCAGCACTACCTGAGTCGGGACCTGCCTACATTCACTTCCGCGCCTTTGTGCCCGGAGCTGAGCCGCCAAAGCTTCACAGCATCCACACTGAAGAGACTGAGCATTCGGATGGGGACAAGACGTATAGAGCCATATTCACTAAAGATGACGACCTTGAGTGGTTTGACACATAGCTAGATATGGGATAGGTCGGTAGCGAGTTGATCAGGAGTTCTCATCTCATGGGCTTGTATTACCCAGACATACAATATGATATCTATTGAGAATTTCTTGGTCCGATTACATGTCCTCCTCCTCTGCCGCCAAGAGTTCAGCATAATCATCTGCCGACGCAAACATTGGCAAGTCCTTGAGTTTCCTCCTGGATGATCGGGCGGCGCTCTTGCTCTTCTGGCTAGTTTCCTCGGCCTCTCCAGGTACTGCAGACAGCTCGGGGCCACCCCCATCCTCCATCGCCTCATCGTCGTCTCCTTCCTCGCCATGGAGCTCGCCGGCATCTTCGTCGTCTCCGTCATCTTCGTCACCATCCGAAAGTTCGGCGTCGGAGCCGTCAGAGAAGATAACGCCGCCATCGGACTCGTCATCGCTGTCGTCGAATCCATCCATGTCAAGGTCGTCATCGTCACTCTCGATTGGGCCATCGGGATGCGAGGCAGTTAAGGCCTTCCAGATCTCATCCTCTTGCTCGGCGTTGTCCTCGGCACTAACCTCATCTGGTCCAGATGACGATTGTTCAGTGATCTTCTTACCACCCTCGACCTTCTTGCCCGCTTGCTTAAAGTATTCGTGGAAGAAGATATCCTCCGCTGCAACCTGGTCTACCTTCTTGTTCCAGAACTTAGGCGTGTTAATTGGCGCAGCTGCACCTGAGCCAGTTCTCTTCGCAAGCCAGATACTGCCAGAATCAGGATTGCGGACCGGCTGCATGATAGATGCTCCCCTAGCAGTCTCTGCCGCCTTCGGGCTGCGGTACACAAACTTGTCGAGGAATCTGATCAAGCTATGGCTCTCCAGGTCGGGTTTGGCCATCTGCTTCTCATTTGAGAACAGACTTGCGGCTAGCAGAGACACGGACGGGTGGAAGTGAGTGAGGGGTGGTATCTGTATTCATTAGCGACCGTAGTCTCGTGAACTCAAACACAGGTCCAAGCTTACAATTTCCCAGAGACAGCTGTTCTGAGCATTGCTATGTTCTGGGTTTCTTTTGCGGCCATCGTACACACTCCCTCTAGAAACAGATGCATTCTGATCTTCTGGCGAGGGCTGGCTAGTCGCCTCTTCTGTGTCGTTATCCTCTGGTTCTTCCAGGAGTGCTCTAAGGTCGGGGAACTGAGTCCGTAGTTGGAAAACCACATATATCAAGCCACAGACGAAAGCAGGCTGGTGCAAGTTGAGAATCTGCAACATTCTCTTCGCAAAGGCCTTGATCCGCCTCGTGTCAACATCGGCCTTGAGAGACTTCAGAATCAGGTTCAAGTAAAGGGCTTGTTTAGAGGAGTTGGCAAGTCGCGGATCCAGCAAGGATTCGTACAACGTCCTGTAGAACCTGTCGGATGCCAGGTGCCTTGACACGGATATTTGCTGAATAAGGATTAGCGCCTGGATGCTCGTGTTGAAGTTCGTCGAGTGCGCGATTCGGAAAAGAGTGTCCATTTGGGATTCGAGGCTGCATGCGAGTGTTAGTTGTTTCGAAGATTCAGAAGCACAGAAACCATTGGACAAGGAGAACTTACATCGGGTCTTGCTCGGCCACGAACGGCACAGCGCGGTTGATTCCTGTCAGTACTGCGGTGACCAGTTTATCGGCTGTCTCCGTTGTAACGCCAGTCTCTTTGGAAGCACGATCCTGTTGACTTTCGGCAGGTGCTTTGCCAAGTGCGGAACTGTTGAGAAGAGTAACAAAAATCTCAAAATAAATGCGGAGCAGTGCCTCCGCCGTGCCACCTTCGCGGTTGCTCAGTATCGTCTGGTTCAGAGTGTTCGTAGCGTGGTACTTGGCCCTGAAAGTTTGACCTGGTCGGAGTAGAACTTCCTGCTCTATACCCTTGATCACAACCTGCTTCATTCCGGGGTGGGTGTTCTGAAGCTGAAGAAGAAGGTAGGAGACTCTCGAGGCAATCTTGCGATCTTTGTCGCCCATTTTGTTTACCAACAGCCTGAGCAGATTGGTCTCTTGCTCGGGCTTGTCCTTGAGCAGGCCGTAGACAAAGTCGATGGAACGGGTGCGAGAGTATTCAATCTCGTCGTTGCACCAGACCTCAAGGAGCTGGATGATCTTGAAGTATGATATCTTGAGCCAATCCTCGTAAGCCCACTGGATGAGGTGTGCATCCGTTAAGCGACCCGGTAAGGCTTGGCTAGAGTTCCAATTCTTGACAGAGGATCGCTGCAGAGCTCCAATGAGACCAGGTTGAGTCTGAAAGGCACGCAGTCTCCTATTAGGAGGTAGAACTAGACCCGGACCGAGCAGATCAACCAGAGCACCAAGAGCACCAATGGCCTGAGCACGACTCCTTTTGGATGCAAGGCCTAGGAGAGACTCAAAAGCCTTGACATTGTGCAGTGGTGACTCTTGAATTGCCAAGGTGAGAGCAGAGACTTTGTCGGAGAGCGTTCCGGAAGACATGATGGTGGAGAGGAACTTTCGAGAGGATGATGCCAGGACGCTCTTGTTGTATGCTGCCGCATCCGCCTCTAGAAGAGCGACTGCATGAGCTTTGAGAGCACTGATGACGCCAAGGAAACCATTCACTTCGGGAGACGTAGGGTCCGGGAGCTGGCTCAGTTCCGCCCCGTGCCAATCAGCACGAGGTTCGAATTTCTGGCGGGTACAGGTCAGCATATGCATGAATTTGAGGGGAACTTGGGTCAGGTGGCTGCTCACGAACTGCTTCTTGAACGTATCTTTGACATCCTTACGGGGAGGTTGTTGCGGTGCATGGATCTCAGGAGCTGCGTCCTCCTGGTCAGACTGGTCATCGCCTTCACCAACTTCATCTACCTCGCTCGCTTCGTCGTCCTCCGTCTCCTCCTCCCCATCTTCCTCCTCCGGGGATTCTTCTGCATCCTGGGCTGTTGCTGATTCGTGATGTTGCTGGAGGCCGAGCTGGGCTGCGAAAGCAGCAAGCTCACTCTGAAGCTTTCCGTCAATATTAGCCATAGAGTTGGCTTCCTCAGTGGCGTCCTCGTCGTCCGAATCAATGTCTCCAATGAGCTTCAGGTCCTCTTCGTCTCCTCCCAAGGCTCTGATCTCCTCGAGGAGATCCTCGCGATTGAGAAGCGCGCCTTTCTTGCCCTTCACCTTAGTCGTAATGTCGTCACGCCCGCTCGTGGACTTGTCGCGACGATGGGCATGCTTTTTCCGTTGATACGAGCTCTCCAATGGCTCGTCGGAGGTGTGTTTGCGCTTCTTGGTATCGGTTGAGTTGTCTTTGACAGCTTGGCCTAGTTTTCCCTCAATCTTGGCTGTGAGATTCGAGAATGATTCCGGGTTCAAGGACTCTGGCTGTCGAGCCTTGCCGGCAGATTGCCTCTTTGGCTTGCCCATCATGTATTTCAGATTACGACCGCAGCCAAAAGAAGAGGGAGAGTCCTGGGTAAATTATTGGAGAAGATAACAATGAACCGTGTGAAGGTGAGAGAAATCCTCTGTATTACACCAAAATGTACAAGAAGCAGAACCTGCAATGCAGAGAGGAAGGGTTGTCGCAAAAAAAAAAAAAAGGCAATTGAGAGCCAGGAGTGGGGTCGTTTTTTTCTTATCGATAAGCAGGGATGGTCAAGGTCGTGGTCGAGCCTCCCGGTGTACCTAGGTACGGATACCTACCTACTTAAATGGAACGGTAAACCCAATTGAGTATTACCTATCTGTATTGTCATCTCCAACTTGGAGTACCCAAGGCAACTCGGAGTAAGGTAATAACGATATAAATTCGGGTCGCGCATCCACCTGGCCCCGTCTACCTAGGTAAGCCGTATTGTCGCTGATAGCCCTCTCATACAAGCAATCCAAGATTGGGGTCAAACAAAATTTGACGTAGCCTCCCTCACCTGGCCTCTTGTGACCTCAATGAGATTAGATCTTGTCTTGCGCCAGTCTCACTAATCAACTGTCCATTGCCAGCTTGTGCCATTTGCTGATTTCCGATTGACAAGTCCCCAAGCGGCCAGCTCGTTCAGCGGTTGACCAATCACCACTATCATCCCATCTTGGTGGAGGCTTTCAAGGTGAATATTGGTCATCGCTACTGAACCAGTAACTCACTTGCGAGCATTGGTCAGCGAACGTGTTCCAGAGTTGCCTCGTCAGCTGGCGTACTTACTTTTGACGCCAACATGTCTTTCAGTCGCGCATGGAGAGTCCCTATATTGTCGACGTCTCCTAGCACGAAGGCAAGCCATGGCAACTTACCGTTCAATGGCAGCAGCCAGGTAGGTACACATATGCCTTTCAAGTAATAACTCATATGACATTGCTTACATGTCACTAGTCATTCAGCCGCGGCTACCGCGCCGGTAGCACCAGGAATCGACTGTCAACTGTTTGGGTCCCTACCGGAGGAATGACACCTGAACGAGGCGAAGGTAGGTCTATCGCATGCTGCCTATCTCGATTGTCAGCGTACTCAATTCAGAAACTCAAGGCGCCTATGAGAAGCTTGTTCGCGCCGGATTCTTGCGACAGGTAGGTCGTTCGATGAAGGGGCATTGAGATGGGAGATTTTGCTCATTCCTCATATTTCAGTCACACTCTGGCATTTTCCATCTACTTCCTCTTGGCCAGCGTGTCCAACGGAAACTCGAGGGCGTCATTGACTATTATATGCATGAACTTGGTAAGTTTTCTCGTACACTTCGGCTACCGGCCGCTGCCATTCACTGACGTCTGCCACAGGAGCCTCGAGAGTAGCTCTGTCAACCATTACATCCAAGGACCTCTGGCAGAGGAGTGGCCGTCTTACACAACTAGAGGCTGAGGTCAGTGCATGCTGTCTCAAAAACCTTGATCCTACGGCTGACTGGCAAAGCTCTTCGGCTTCGAGGACCGCAAAGGGTCCAAATACATGCTGTCGCCGACCCACGAGGAAGAGATTACTACTCTAGTGGCGAAGACTGTGAAATCCTACAAAGAACTGCCCCTTCGCCTCTATCAAATCAGTGAGCACAGAAACTTCACAGACCTCATCAGCCACCCAATAACTCATGCTGACATCGTTAGCGCGCAAATTCCGTGACGAACTTCGCCCGCGCCATGGACTACTAAGAACCCGCGAGTTCACCATGAAGGACCTCTATACTTTTGATGTCTCCGCGGATTCGGCCCTGGAGACCTATAAGAAGGTCCAGTCGGCATACACCGGCGTTTTCAAAGCACTGAAGCTGCCTGTGAAAGTAGCCAAAGCGAGCTCCGGCGACATGGGAGGCGATCTGAGCCATGAGTATCACTTGCCCACCTCAATTGGGGAAGACACTCTGGTCACCTGCAATACTTGTAGCTACGCTGCTAACGCCGAGGTTGCCGAGCCAAGGACAGTGGCCGTCGACAGCTCGGGACCATGCGGTCTGACTGAAACCCCAAGTCCTGCACCTGCTTCAATAAGGGTTTGGCGAGGCATCAGTAAAGACCGCAAGACCTTGGTGAATGCCTGGTATCCAGGCCGAAGCCAGGATGAATCTGACCGAGAGAACGATCTCAGGATTTCGGCCATTAAGACAATTGTCGCTGATCTGGACGCAAGCACTGAGAATGCCGCATCACTGTGGCGGACAGCTATTACATCAACGAGTTCTAGCACGGACACTGCGGCCACCCGGCCCCAGATCATCAACATCATACACTCCACATTGAGCAGCAACCTAGAAGAGGTTCTACGAGAAGAAAGCAAATCATCGCCTTTGTTAGGGTTGGATGTTCCCGAAGATGGAGTAGACTCGACCATCATTACCAGAACGCAAGTTGGACAATCAATCAACCTGCTCGCCGCTCGCGATGGTGACAGATGCCCTTGCTGCGATAGTGGCGTTCTCCAGCTGCAGAAGGCGCTGGAGCTTGGGCACACATTCTACCTAGGAACTCGATACTCGGAGCCACTCGATGCAACAGTATCCGTACCAACTCGTGCGAAATCAAGTCAGCACGATGGTCAGCCAGCTTTGGCTGAGGAAAAGACGCCTATGCAGATGGGGTGCCATGGAATTGGCGTCTCCCGACTCATAGGGGCCGTAGCTGAGCATCTAACAGACACAAAGGGCCTACAATGGCCGCGCGTGATTGCCCCTTACGAAGTCGTGGTGATTTCGACTCCTGCTCTAGCTCAAGATGCCAGTCAAGTGTATGATGAGATCGCCACAGGGGGCATTGACACGGTGCTGGATGATAGGTCGGCGTCCTTCGGTTGGAAGCTGAATGACGCAGACTTGGTAGGTTATCCGGTCCTAGTCATACTGGGTAAAGTATGGAAGGAGACAGGTAACTGTGAGGTCCAGTGCCGCAGATTCGGGATCAAAGAAACAGTCCCGCTTGAAGAGCTACGCCAGCGTGTGGCAGAGTTGCTCGAACAGCTCTGAGCAGAATGAAGACCGCTAGGACGTCTCGTTGAGACGCCCGCGACGCGGTGTGTACAAGACATTCATGTATCTCCAAATCAGATGTCCTACCATTGTAAAGATAGGAAAACGCCTCCAATAGCTCATTTTAATGTCACAACTAAAAGGTGTGTCCATTGTCGTCGAAGCATCAGGGACCCAGCAACCTCTCTTTATCTACCGATCTTACCACACTCGATGTGAGGTGGGTGGCATGCGATGGCGGCCTGCCCGGACGTGTCCTGCGCGGTGTGGGGCGGTCACGTGTGTAGCCACCGCCCGAGAAGTGCGATAAAGGCTGTCAATAATATGGGAAGGAGTGGTGTCAATGAACGACAATCAAGTAGTCAGGCCTTGCTTCAAACCTCACTCCGCCTCTAGAAAGTTTGACACAGCACCGGGTCTCAATCACATCAGCAACCCGCCGTTTTCCCTTTTGGCCATTTTTCGAAGTGGGGTTTCACCGTCGCTTAGGGGTTGGTACTGAGCAGGAACTCATACTCACTTCAATCATCTATCCCGACGACTTTGTTCGCCCGCAGGCCTGTTTAATCAACCATGGCCGCTCAGGGTTCTGAGAGTAGTGAGTGTTTCCGGTTTAGATTCCGCCGTCTCCTCATTAAGGTCAGGTGTACATCTTCCGTTTTCAGTGCTGACTCGGCTCCACAGTCAATCTGGAGACGCTAGACACACAGCAACTCAGTCAGGTCAAGAAGCAGTTGGAAGAAGAACTCGAGCACTTGACAAACTCGTTCGCCCAACTACACAGCGCGCAATCCAGGTTCAAGGAGTGCCTCCGGTGTGTCAAGGCCAGGCCTGGTGCTGGGGATGGTATGCAGGTCCCCAACTTTCCCGTGTCATCAGTGGCCAGCAAACTTAACATTTCTCCAGGCGACAAATCTGTCCTGGTGCCGCTAACCAACTCTCTCTACGTACGTGGGGAGCTTTCGGATCCAAAGCACGTCATCGTCGACGTGGGCACAGGATTCTACGTCGAGAAGGCATGTTCATCAGGCCCGAGGTTCTGTCTGACCTCTGACCATGGTGTGTGTTAACACTCACGCAGGATACCGAGTCTGCCGAACGTTTCTACGAGGCCAAGATTCAGAATTTGATGAATAACATTCAGGACCTCGAGCTGATCGTGCAGCGGAAAACGCTAAATGTGCGAAGTGTTGAGGATGGTAAGTTCCACATGTCCCTAGGAAACATGACTTGGCAATAGGCAGCATGGTTAAGGATATACTAACGAATCGTGTGTAACTGATAGTGCTGAGGCAAAAGGTTTTACAAAGCCAGACAGCATGAATAGCAATGGGGTGTTATAAAGCAGGCTACTATAACTATTGTACAAAAATAGCACCGTGACTACTATTACACTAGGCACTAAACCTCTATAACCCCGAACCTTAAGCAACTAGCGGACCTCTTAAGTATTATTAAACTACTTAACTACTAAGCTTAAAAACTAAGTACTTTAATACTCTATTAATAGTATTTTTTTAAATATTAAATTATTTATTTAAATTCTATTTTATTAGTTATTTAGATAATTTTTGATATAAATATATAGTATCCCTTTAGGGTTAGCCCTTTATTAAAGGCTATTTTTATTTTATAAATAAGCTAGTTTATAAGGGTTAATATTAAGTTTTTATCATATATATTATTTAATAAACTTTATAATTAATAATAACTAGTTATAACTATTAATATAGCTTGAATTATTATTAATAACGTAATATATTAATTATTTTTAAATAATTAAAAACTATTTTTATTTTTTATTTTATTAAATAATTTTAAGATATCTTTTTAAAAAAAATAATTTTATATTATAATTTGAGAATATTAATAATATTTTAAAATTAGTTAAGTATTTTAAAATTATATTATATAAATTAAGTATTAATAAAAGTAATATTTATATTAATATATTTATTTCAATTTTTAGATTAATAATATTTAAGTTATATTATTTTAAATAACTTTATTATAATTTAAGGTTTTTAAATATAATATTTATAAAATTAAACTTTTAGTTATTAAAAGCCCTAAGGTTAATAAGTTTTAATATATTAATAATATATATTCAAATAAATAAATAATTTAATAATATAATAATAATAAATAGTAAGAGAAGTAGCGCTTTTAATTTTAATAAAAAGTAAAGTAAATATATAATATATAAGTTAATATATACTAAATATTAATAAAATTAGTATTATTCTTAATAATAATAATAAGAGTATTTTTAATATTATATTATTATAAGTTATTATTAACCTAAAAAACAGCGAACTTAGCTAAGTATATAAACTTATAAAATAATAGTAGTACACTTAATATTATTATTAATTTATAATTATAAACTTTATAAAAAAATTAAAAAGAAAAAAAATAAAAATAGTTTATTAAAATAGTAAGAATAATAGTAAGAATATTTATTAATATTATATATTAATATTATATAATTAATATTAAAAACTACTCTGGCGATTTATAGAAGTAGAATACTAAATAAATATATAATATTTTTTATTTTAAAAATATAAAAATCGACTTTAATATAATTAAGCTTTCAAAAGTATTTTTATAATGTAGTATATTTTTAATAAAGTAATCCGCTAGGGCCGTATTATATATTATATATTAAAAAACTAAGTATACTACGCTCTATACTTAATAATTAATTAAAATAGTAATTAATTAATTCGATTATTATCTCCTTTTATTAACTCTTAATTTTTATTATTTTTAACTACTTATAAAACGAGTTTTACTTATTTTAATACGTATAAAACCTCTTAATACTAGCTTATATAAATAGCTAAGTTTAATACGATTTTTTTATATAGCTTATATAAATAGCTAAGTTTAATACGATTTTTTTTATATAAGTATTATTATTATTTAGGGCTTATAAGAGTTATTTAAAGTACTAGCTTATTATTTTAATTTTATATTTTCTAACCCCTTATTATAATTATTATTATTAAATTAATATTAATATATTAAAATTTAATATTTATATTAACCTAGCTATTTATAATATTTATAATATTATTTAACTAAATTTTATATTATTAAAAAGTATTTTATTATTTTTAAGTATATTTATATTAGTTATAATAATTATAGCGTCGAGCGAGCTAAAATAGGCGCCTAGTTTAAAAAGGTAAACTTATTAATAAGTATTTTTAAGTTCTTATTAAGGTAATATTTTAACTAATTAACTTCTTAACTAATAATCTAACTAGTTATTTAAGTAGTAATTTATATATTAATAAGTTTATTTAATAGGTTTATTTAATAAGTTTATTTAATAAGTTTATTTAGTTTAAATAGAGCTTTAAGTAATATTAAAAATAATAAAATAAAAAGAATTTCTATAAGCTTTAATATATAAATATTAGCCCTTTTAGCCCTTTTTAAAAAAGTCCTATATTATTATTAGAGTTTAAAACTTTTATAATTAGGGCTATTTTTAACTTTTATAATTAATTATTATAATTAATTATTATAATTAATTATTATAACTAATTTTAATTCCCTTAATAAAGTAATCCGCCAATAATACCGTATATTATATATTAAAGAAAACTAAGTATATTGCGCTCTATACTTAATTACTAACTAAAATAGTCGTTAATTAACTTAATTATTATTTCCTTTTATTAATAGCTCTTAACTTTTACTATAGTTTTCTTAAGTTTTAATTATTTATAGGCGAGTTTTACTTATTTTAATACGTATAAAACCTCTTAATATTAGCCTATATAAGTAGTTAGGTTTAATATAATTTTTTATATATAAATATTATTATTACCGGGGCCTATAAGAACTATTTAAAATACTAGTTTATTATTTTAATTTTATATTTTTTAGCCCGCTTATTATAATTATTATAACTAAGTTAATATTAATATATTAAATTTTAGTATTTATATTAACCTAGTTATTTATAATATTTATAATATTACTTAACTAAATTCCGTATTATTAAAAAGTATTTTATTATTTTTTAAGTATATTTATATTAGTTATTTGTTTTGTGTTCTACCTTTGCTGGCTGCTCGGGCGGTTCTCGATATCGTTTACACGGTATTAATTTATATTAGTTATAATAGTTATAATATTAAGCTAGTTAAAATAAGCGCTTAGCCCGAGAGGGATAGACTTATTAATAAATATTTTTAATTTACTAATTATTAATTATATACTAAGAGTAGAGTAGGTTTTTATTAAAGTAGTAGTTTATATATTAATAAGTTTATTTAATAAGTTTATTTAGTAAATTTATTTAATTTAAATAAAGCTTTAAGAATAAAAATAAAAAAAGTCTTTACGAGCTTTATAAATATTAGTTTTTTTTTTTTTTTTAAAAACCTCTATATTATTATTAAAATTTAGAACTTTTATAATTAAGGAAGGCTACTTCTGACCTTTATAGCTAATTATTATAGTTAATTATTATAGCTAACCTTTATTATTAACTTTTAATTAGTATTACTATATAATAAAAGGGTAACTTACTTATCTAAATTAAATAATAATTTTCGTATCGAAATTATTATATTATATTAAGTACGTACTTAGGGTATATTATATATATTATATAGTTAAAAATATACCGTATTATATAATTTTTTAAAAGCGTAATCCCGTTAAGGTCGATTTTTATACCTCTAAAGCTAGAAAAAATTATTATATATAATTAATATTTAAAAATACTAAAATAAGTTATCGATTTATAATATTATTTTATAATAAAAGTTTAACCTAAAGTATTTTTATTTTTAAATTCTATTTTTATAAATTGCTCGTGTAGTTTTTAATATTAGTTATATAATATTAATATATAATATTAATAAATACTCTTATTATCTTATTAAACTATTTTTATAATTTTCTTTTATTTTTTAACTTTCCTTTTATAAAAATTTATAATTATAGATTAATAATAATATTAAATATAATATTATTATTCTATAAGCCCTTATATTTAGTTAGGTTCGCTATTTTTTTAAATAACAATAGCTTATAATAATATAATACTAAAAATACCCTCGTTATTATTATTAAAAATAATATTAATTTTTAATATTTAATAAATATTAACTCTTATAACTATATTATATATAATAGTTTTTTTTAGTTTTATAAGTACAAAAGATCGACCTTAATAGATTAAAAAAATTTATAATATAATATACTTTTAATTATATAATATACGTAATATACCCTAAGTACGCGCTTAATATAATATAATAATTTTAATATAAAAACTACTATTTAATTTAGGATAAGTAAGTTACCCTTTTTATTACGTAATAGTATTAGTTAAAAAGGTTAATAATAGAGGTTAGTTATAATAATTAGTTATAATAGTTAGTTATAAAAGTTAGAGGCGGCTTAATAAAAAGTTATTTATTTTTAATTATAAAGGTTCTAAACTTTAATAATAACGTAGAGGTTTTTAAAAAAGGGCTAAAAGAGCTAATATTTACTACTCTTTAGAGCTCGTAAAAATTCTTTTTATCCTTATTATTTTTAATATTATTTAAAACTCTATTTAAACTAAATAAATTTATTAAAGAAACTTACTAAATAAACTTATTAATATATAAAACTACCTAAGTAACTAGTTAAATTATTAATTAAGAAGTTAGCTAGTTAAAATACTACTTTAATAAGAACCTATTTTAAAAATACTTATTAATAAGTCTATCCCTCCGGGCTAAGTATTTATTTTAATTAGCTTAATATTATAGTTATTATAATTAACGTAAATATACTTAAAAATAGTAAAGTACTTTTTAATAATACGGAATTTAACTAAGTAATAATATAAGTACTATAAATAACTAAGCTAATATAAATATTAAAATTTAATATATTAACGCTAGTTTAATTATAATAATTATAATAAATAAATTAGAAAAGTATAGAATTAAGCTAATAAGTTAGTACTTTAAATAGTTCTTATAGGCCCCAGGTAATAATAATATTTATATAAAAAGAGATTATATTAGACCTAGCTATTTATATAAGTTAGTATTAAAAGGTCCTATGCGCATTAAAATAAGTAAAGCTTGCTTTATAAATAGTTAGAACTTAAGAAGATTTTACGTAATAAAAAGTTAAGAACTATTTTAGTTAATAATTAAGTATAGAGCGTAATATACTTAGTTTTCTTTAATACGTAATATACGGTACGGCCCCGACGGATTATTTTATTAGGGGGCTTATATATTATATATTTATTATTTTATTTCTTTTATTAAAATCAAAAACGCTTTTCTTATCGTTTATTATTATTATATTATTACTATTATAATTATTATTATTATTATTATTATATTATTACTATTATACTATAATTATTATTATTATTATTATTATATTATTACTATTATACTATAATT